GATGTGGAATCTGTTATTACAAGTAAATAGGAAAGTGACAGTTTTTTTTTTACAGTATTAAGTACAGCATGTTTCTCATTTAGCCATTCCATCTTCAATCCTATAATTGAATATACTGTTATTTTTTTAGTATTTTTCTAACATATTTAAGCCAAATTGCTTCAGCTGTCAACAGGAAAAGTAAACAGAGTTATTAGTAAGGATTGTACTAAAATCAACCTTTCAATATGGTATTTATTAACAATATTTTCTTAAGCATTTTCAATATAAAATTATAACTTTATCATTTGTCATTTGAAAACCATGAGATTATTTAAGAAAAAAAATGCCATGAAGGTTAACATTGTTCTGCAAAAGTGGTGAAAGGTAATAAACCTTGGAGACACAGAGCTAATACAGCTAATGCTCAGAACACACAGTGAAGGCAGGCCCAGCTTCTTGAACAGTTCCAGGTGAATGGGAATTTGCTTCATTAGGGCAGGTCTTTTCCATTGGCTAGAGATTTTTAATGTTACAGTTCTTTAACATTCTAAATGTTAGGAAGTTCTTCTTGTCTTCCCATTATCTTCTTGTGCTATATTAAATAATTTTAGTTTGCAACCAGACAATTTGAAATTTTCCTTTTGCCTTACTTTGTAAGATGGTCTGAGGGATTTAAAGACAACTGCTTTGAACAGAGGTATGTGCCATCATCATTCTTTGGTACCTTCATTCACTTTGGCTTGCTTTTCAGACTCACAGTAGGTCTCCTATGAACATTTTACTTCATCAGTAGCCACTGACATTGAAGTAGATACATTCAATACAAGATCTGATATGTAAGAGATATTGTTAGCTGGGCTTGGTGGTGCATGCCTTTAATCCCAGCACTCAGGAGGCAGAGGCAGGTGGATCTCTGTGAGAGCGAGGCCAACCTGGTCTACAAAGTAAGTTCCAGGCCAGCCAGCTATGGGTACAGGGAGAAAGATAAAACAAACAAAACTATTAGGTCAGGTTGAGTCTATCACAAAATCTGGGAGTTTTGTCTTGTTATATTGTTATTCTTTATTGTTTTATTGTTTTGTTTTTGAGACAAGGTCTCATTCTGTAGGCCTGACTGGCCTGGAGCTCATGGTAATTTTCCTATCTCAGCCTCCCAAGTGCTGGGATTACAAAAGTGAACCACCATCTTAAACTCCCATTCTTATGCAATTGATTCTTAGAGACTGAGTGTTATGGATCCCCAAAATGTAGGTTTCCTAACCTCAAGTTCCTATAAATGTGACCATATCCTGAAATAGCTTCCTTGCAGTTTGTGATGGTTAACCTCAATTGTCAAGTTGATGAGGTTAGAGTCATCTAGGAGATGGGCTTCTGGGTGTGCCTGTGGGGGAAATTATCTAATTAGATCAATTGACATGGGACTACAAACCTGCTGTGAGTGGCACCATTCACTGGGATGGGATCTTGGCTTGTATAAAAAGGAGAAAGTGAGCAGGTACAATATGACCAGCTGTTTCAAGCTCCTCCTTCCTTGACTTCCCTGCCATAATGGACTGTACCTTCTGACTCTGAGCCAAATAAATAAATAAATAAACCCTTCCTTAAGTTGCTTTTGTCATGGTATTTTGTCACAGCAACAGGAAAAGTGACAAAGATGCAGCTGCTCAAGTTAAGGTCATTAAGATGGGCATTAATCCCAGGGGACTGTGTCCATATAGAAAGGAGAAGATTGATTAGGTATGGTAGCATATGTCTTGTAATCCTAGTCTTTAGGAGGTTGAGGCGGGAAGATCATGGGTTTGAGGCCAGCCTGGGGTACAAAGCAAGACCTTTTCCTCTCCACAGGAAGAAATTTGGCCACCCTGAGTGGCGTGCATAGGGGAAAATAGGGTGAAGACACAGGAAAATGACAACTACAGTAAGTCAAGGAATGACTGAGGCTGCCACAAGCTAGGGGAGAGGAACTGAACAAATTCTCCTTCGTGGATATCAGAAGGAACCAGCCCTGCCATCACTTTGACTTAGGACTCTTCCAAACTATGACACAACAAATTAGATTTAAGCCATCCAGTTTGTGGCTTTTTGCTGTTAGCACTAGGAAGCTAATATACCTATGAAAAACTTTAAAAATATTTTCATTTAAGACAATTATAAAGCATAGGAAGTTGCAAAGACAGGTAGCAAATATCTACCTAGCTCCTTCCAGTGGTTGCGTCTTATGTAATTAGGATGGAACATCAAAACAAGCCATTTAGCCTTCATCTGGTGTGCCTATTGTTCTCTGCCATTTTATCACATGACCACCATTTTGGTCAAACCACAAGATCTCCATACTATCCTTTCACAGACACTCTCATCCCCTGCCCCATCCCCATCAATATTCTTAGAAACCTCAAATCTATTTTCCTTCTCTGTAATCTTGTCATTTCAAGATGGTTTTTCTATTACAGTGAGGAAATATATGAGAAAATCAACATAAAGGAATAGTTAATTTTGGCTCATGATTGCAGACATTTCAGTCCATTGTTAGCTGTCTCCACTGTGTTGAGGCCCCAAATGAGGCAGCGTATCATGGTAGGGATCATGTGGTAAAGCAAAGTTCTTCCCTTCATGGTGGCCAGGAAGCAGAGAGGAATAAGGAAGAACCAGGGACAAGGTTTATCCTTCAAAGACAACATGTTGCATATACCCTCAGTGACCCACTTTCTTCAATTAGGCCCCTAATTTCTACCAGCCTACTCAGTTATGAACCAATAAATGGATTAATTCATTAATGGAGTAATCCTCATGATCTAATCACCTTTCAATAGTGCTACCAGCTGGGAACTAAGCCTTTAATACAGGAGACTTTTGAAAGGACACTTTCAAACCATACAAACTATGCAAACCATGATAATTATGTTAATGAAAAATATATGGTATTTTGCAATTGGCTTTGTTCATTCAGCATCATGTTGTTGAGATCCATATGAGTTTCTGCACCAAAGATTTTAAAATTTCTGAGTAGTGT